AACGATTGACAGATGACTTAAAAGATTGCAAATTATATGAATCAGGGAAGCAAGATGAAGGAAGCAAATTCCAAAGAACTGATGTTCGAAGAAAAAAACTAGTTTTAGAGCAGTGCCAATTATAGTATTTGTAGAAAAGAGAAAAAGAAGCAACATCACGACGATGTGACAATGGTTGGAGATTGGCTGCACAAGCAGGTCCAACTATGTTTACAATGCATTTTTGCACCTTGTCTAAAAGAGAAAGGGCATCAATAGAAGATCTGCCCCAGATATGGCAACAGTATTCCATACAGGGACGGATTTGAGATTTATAGAAATAGAGAATAGAATCTAGAGTAAGGAAGTGTCGAGTTCGATAAAGAGATGCAACCTTAGCAGATGCTAATTTTGCAATGGATTTGATATACGGTTTAAAAGAAAGATCAGAAGTAAAAGTTAATCATAGAAGGTGAAGGGTATATGACTCATCTAGTACATTACAATTCATAAATATAGGATATAGGATAATATAGGATAAGATCAAAATTATTGCGATAACGATTGGCCGAAAAAAATTGAGTTTTATCTGAAATAAAGTTCACCAGCCATTGTGAGCCACATGCTGTAGCAGAGGTGAGATCCTTTTCAAGCTCAGATACCTTTCCAAGCAATCAGAGAGTGTAGGCTTCTTATCATGACAAGAATAAATAGTAGTGTCGTCAGGGAACAATGCCACCTTAGATGTGATAATATCTGGAAGATCGTTAATGTAAATTAAAAAGAGTATAGGGCCAAGGATTGAACTTTGAAGAACCCCTGAAGTTACAGGATATGAAGAAGATATATATATATATATATATATATATATATATATATATATATATATATATATATATATATATATATATATATATATATATATATATATATATATATATATATATATATAACTAACTTAAAATTTTACTGACTACATCTTTTGAAAGGAAATTCTTAAATTTTCTTTTTTTCTTGCTGAATTGACTAGGTACTTATTTTGAGTATTGAGAAGTATTAAAAAAATTAATTTATAAAGATAAAAGGCCTAGATAGTTAAAATAACTTCCAAGATAGTTATTACAAGAAAAAATATTACTTACATTATTCTTTGTAAAACTTTAAGATTTATCATTGACTTCATATAATTTCTTTAACTTTGTTTTGGGAAAAGCAAAATTTCGAATCACAGACTTTCAAATTTTGGAGGAGCTGAATGAATTAAAGGAGTTGTTACTAATAATAATTCATTAGGCATATTACATAAAATAAATTATATTACATTAACCATTACATAAAATAAACTATAGCCAAAACCGTTGTTCTATTTTTTTAAAACCGAAGGCAAAAATATAAATGAACTTTAGAGTTAAATACATTTAATCAAATAAAATTTCTTTGATTTAAAACAAAATTAGATACAAAAACTACAAACACATCAATTCTAGATTCCTAAATGCATATTTAAATAAATGCAATATGAGTTTTTGAAATACAAAACAAAAATGTAACATAATATTACCGAATACAAACATGTCTTTGACCAAAACATATATATCAACTGACACTTAATGTAGTTGACGCTCCAAAAAAAAAAAAATCTTAATTAACAAGTAAATAAAATTTATGGATAAAATAAAAAATATTCTTACAAGTGTTTTTTTTTTTTGCATTAGCATTTTTTATTTATTTAGTTTTTAATTTTTCTGTTCAACTTTAAATTGTATCTAATAAATGATTAAAATTAGTAGAATTTGTAGTATTAGTTAAAATTTAGAAACACTTCCTGTTTCTAAATTTTAACTAATACTACAAATTCTACTAATTTTAACTAATAATAACTAATAGTTCTAAATTTTAACCAATTCTAATAATTTTAAATTTTAGCAAAATTTAGTTTTATTTTATTTAACATAGATTTTGTATTTTTACTATTAAAAATAGCCACAAATAAGTAGCCTCCTTGTCTGTAGTGGCCGTCTCGGCCTTGAGGAGGTGAATTAAAATTAAAAAAAAAAAAAAGAAAAAAAAAAAAAAACTGACGCTATAAGTAAGGATTTTAAGGAGACATTTTTCTATTATTTAAAAAAATTTGGTCACGAAAGTCAATTTTTTGAAAAAAAAAAAAGCAGAATTAAGGAGAAAATAACTACATTGAAAACAGAATCTTATTTTTTTCAATAAATTTTAAATAAAAACAGAAAAATTATTATAAATTACCATATTAGTTATATATATATATATATATATATATATATATATATATATATATATATATATATATATATATATATATATATATATATATATATATATATATATATATATATATATATATATATATATATATATATATATATATATATATATATATATATATATATATATATAACCTTTGGAATTAGGGTCGGCATGCAGCAATGCCAACCTAAAAGTGTTTGAGGTCGACAAATAATGCTGACCTTGTTTCTATGTTTAATGGTAAGACTTTTAAATCACTTTTTTTTGCTATTTTGATTAATGTCAACAAATTATTGTCAACCTTTTTTCTTAATTCCAAGGGTTGTGTGTGTGTATATATATATATATATATATATATTATATATATATATATATATATATATATATATATATATATATATATATATATATATATACTCAATAGAAATATAGGTTTGCAATCAATCAAAGGACTATATAATTTCTTTAATAATAAGTATAATCCATTTACTTTAATAAAATTTCCTAGATGATAAAAAAAAGGAGAAATTAAGGAGTGTTTCTCATTGGTTACTTAGTAAATTGCCAATAACATTCCAACATGTGATATAGTGGTTATTCATATGTTAATACAGTTATATAAGAGACAGGTGGGTAGAAAATTTCCTTTAGAGTAAAGGAAATTTTCTACCCTCCTGTCTCTTATATAACTGTTATGACTGGTTTAATTTTTTCAATGAGACTTATTTTTTAGTCAAAACTTTTGAACTTCACTAATAACTAATTACTAAAGTTAAGTAATTGGTTATTAGTGAAGTTCCAAAACTTGATATTGTAATATTTCAAAAAGTTCATTAACTAATGTACTGGTCCAATTATTTTGAATAGAACAATCTAAAAGTTGTTAATTAAAGATATTGAATTATCAGCATTATTATGTATTATTAATAGGTTTTCCTTTTGAAAAATATGACTATGCATGAGATTCTGCGATGTCTAAGTCTTTCAAACAGTCAGAACTTGGTTCTTGATATAGTATATCAATTATTATGCATGAAATACTTTATCAAGTGTCAAGTATAAACTATATATATATATATATATATATATATATATATATATATATAGGTACGCGCATATCGTGATTTACGGAACCGATTTTTTTGCTAAAATTTTGTTACTCGTTTTTTCACTTCTTTTTAGGCAGCATGGGGTAAACGTAATTTTGTGATGTTTCTTTTTAGAAACATATATACACATAGATACTTTTTGGAAAGAAGAGAAGCTAATCTTTACTTTTTAAAAACTTTTATGTATGGTTACTAGACTTTTTAACAGATTATTTTGCTCCTGAATATTTGGTTGATGTTTTCACATGAATTTGCAGTCAAAGGCATGTCGTGTCCACTTTTTTTGTTATTCAGGCAATTTTTTACATGCATTTTCTATTTATGTGCCAAATTTCAACGAAAAATAATTGGGAGCAGATATGTTACAAGGTGCTTTATTAAATATACTGCTTTTTTTAGGTAGGGTTAGACAAACGTTTTTTGTGGTGTTTCTTTTTAGAAACATATATAAATAAAAGTTATATTTGGAAAGAAGAAAGGTTAGGCTTGATTTTTATAGTACTTTTATGTATAATCACTAAACTTTTTTATGGTTAGTTTTGCTGAAAACTTTCAAGAAAATTTCGTAGATGTTCTCACATTAATTTGTTGTCGAAGGAATGTCGTGTCCGCTTTTTTTGTTATTCAGGCAATTTTTTACATGCATTTTCTTTGCACATGCCAAATTTCAGCAAAAAATAATTGGGAGCAGATAGTTTAAGAAGTGTAGGACTTTCAGTACCTAAATTCGGTTTTTTTTGTTTTTGTTTTATCAGTAAGAGAAATACGGGGGAGGATAGGGGGGAAGCGGATTGTAAACAAAAAATTACTACAACATTGTATTATTTTAATTCTTAATATTAGATTAAAATTCAAATAAAAATGGTAAAGTTATGGAAAAGAAAACTTTAAAAAGTAAGTTAATATGTTTTTCAAGATAATAATAACTTTTTTAAAAAACAAAACAATGATAAATTTAAAAACCTTAATCTTTGTTTACATGGCATGTAAACAAAGATTAAGGTTTTTTATATATACCAATGATGAAACTATATATACCAATGATGGTAATATATTCCAATGATGGTATATTAAAAAAGATTAGGATTTAAGATTAAACTGTTACTTTGGAATATTTTATTAACTATTAGTATCAGATACCAATGTTGTTAATACACCATATATATAAAAATATACAAACAACATTATTATACTTTAAAGTAAAACATTATTGGCTTAAGCCAATAACGTTTTTGACAAAATATTTTTATAATAATAAGCTTATTTTTGTAAAAATATCAAGATACTTTTACAATAATAAGTTTATTCTTATATCTTGTTGGTGTCTTTCTAATATACAGTAATATAATTTTAAAATACAGTAATATTATTTGTTTTTAATTTTTTTTTTCATACCTTTTTCTTGTTAGTAAAGTTGTTATACGTAAAGCAGAACTGATTTAATAACTTATTTTTATTGACTGTTGACAATTTCAAGATCTTTTTTTTTAATTATCTACCTATTTTTAAGTATCTACCTTTTGTGTTACACTTGGTAAGTTAAACAACTTTTTAATGTGAAATTAAAAAGTTGTTTAACTTTATTTCCTTTACAATATGTTTAACTTTATTTCCTTAGTCATGTGCTGCAACTAGTAATTTAAAAAACTATTACATTTTATGTGTATGCATTTCTCGTTATTTAAAATATTGATTTTTTGTTACAACATTGTAATTTTAGTATCTACCTTTTGTGCTACACCTAAACAACTCTTTTTAATGTGCACAAATTTCTCATTGATTGCAATATTGATTTTTATAATATATTTTTTACCTTTAGTTCTTTATACGTGTGGCTACGCCTGGTAAGTTTCAAAACCTTTTTTCTTTTAACATGTGTATGCATTTCTTATTAATTGCTTATTCTTTTTTGCAATTGCATTTCTTATCAACTGGTTTTTAATTAAAACCATTTTTATATAAAAATTATTACTTTTTAGACTATGAATGCATTTATTACCATTTGCAATTTGTATTTTTATTAAAACAAATTTTACTTTTAGTTCCATCTGTACCACCTTTAAATGGTAAATTTATAAATCTAGAATGTCTCTGATTTTTTACTGAGTTCCTCTTATTCCTATTTATATCATCTATTTAATACTTTTGTGTTTTGTTATCTCTCCAAGTGCTATAAAAGGAGAATCAGAAGCTTATACATGTTTGAGTTTTTATTCTGATTAACTTTTATTAAAAATTTCATTGATTTATTAATCATTCTTTATATATATTCAGACAAACTATCTTGGTAAGTATTTATTTTAATTTTTTTAATTTTTAATTACATGAATTACAAATACATTAATATTTTATTTGTTTTTAGAGCTTACATATGAAGCTTATAGGTCATTTCGATCTTAAAACTAAAATCATTTACTAAAAGCCAAGACATAGAGTAATTACTATGTTTTAAAACATTTTATTATTTTTTTTTTTATTAGGTTGGTGGGTTAAATATGATCATTTAAATGAGAAAATGTATACTAGTGCAACTTGTAATCTGGTAAAACAATTATGTATTGTTCTTTCTCTTTTTTAATAATTGCATGTGAAAATGTTGAAAATGTCTTTTCTATGTGTTTTCTTTTTTATGTTGGTTGAGGGGAAGGGGGAAAACTATCCCTCTCCTCAAATTATGTTCTATAGTAAAAAAAATATTGCTTTATGTAATACAACAATATTTTCAATACCAATGTATGTTGTATAGTTATAAAATATTATTTTTTGTCACGTGGGGGGAGGGGGGAGGGGGTGCATCATACTTCCTTCATTTCAAGTCAATGTGTGCATCAATAATATATGTTGAATAGTAATAAAAGATTTTTTTTAATTTTTAACAATGCATTTAATTATTGTAATAAAGAAAAAATTATTTTTATTTTTTATGAGTCGGGGGGGGGGGGGCGGGGGGGGGGGGGCGGTGCGACATACACCCTCCCCTAAAGTTAGTGTTGTATATCACTAATGTATGTTTTATAGTAAAAAAAAATATTTTTACTTTTTAACAAAATATTAAATTACTGTAAAAAAGATTAAATTATTTATTAGAAAGTATGATTATTGTATTTAGGGTGTTATAACATCACAACCACATCTATGGTCAACTCTAAGATCACCTTATTTTGTTTGGCAGTGTTTTGGAATCAAGTTATGGCAATATTTTGTGTATAAAATATAACAATTACATTTAAAAAGTGCTTATTTCTGACAAAAACTTGTATTTTCTTAAGGGTTAGATGGTGTTTCATTACCCCCTCTGGCTCCCAAGATACACCCTACATCCAGGCACCAAAATGAACTTGTAGCCCATTAGTGCACCTATCTTGTGATACCAAGATATAGGTATTTGGATAAAAATTGACAAAGTTATAACAATTTAAGTGAAAAAAATAATTATTTTGACCACAGTTTCTTCAACAATTCCATATATCTAAAATTTGTTACTAAAAATGTTATAACTTTTTTTAGAATTGTTCGTTTTTAATAATTTTTTCACCTTTAAAATACTGTATTAAAGGCCTTTCTGATGATGTATAACATTCTACTATATGATCAATATAAAAATTTCAGTGCACGTACCTAATATATATATATATATATATATATATATATATATATATATATATATATATATATATATATATATATATATATATATATATATATATATATATATATATATATATATATATATATACATATATATATATATATATATATATATATATATATATATATATATATATATATATATATATATATATATATATATATATATATATATATATATATATATATATATATATATATAGTATATCATATACCCAGTTTTTAACTTTTTCAATATCTGTATCAATTTCAATATATATATATCAATATTAATACGATTCTCAAGTAATTAAATGTTTAAAAATATATATATAAATTAGCAAGAACCTGTCTATATGTCGCTTATCATAAGGTGCTTTTAAAATTCTCCTTGAATCTTTGGGAAGTTCCAAACCTTGATTTGGCAATATTTCAAGAAGGTCATTAACTAATGTACTGGTTCCATTATGAAATAGCATAATGTTTTCGAGTAAAGACATTGAATTCAAAGAATTATCAGGATAATTGTTCCATGTATCATTAACAGGTTTTCCTATTGAAAAATTCGATTCTGCATGAGATGTCTAAATCTTTGAAATTGTTAGAACTTGGTTTTTGATATAGCAATACTATACTAATATTATATAATACTAATATTATATAATATGTATATCCATCTAGTCGGAATCACTTGACTTATTGCGCAACAAAAGTAACCATATTGAATGTAGGGAAAACAAATCATTACACGTTAACGCAAAGATAAGAAAGCACTCGTAATAATGTCGTTCAATTATTTTGAAAGTTTATCAAAAGAAGCAGCAGAAAGATATCAGCGAAAATTAAGTCTTTTAGGTGATTATTTTTCATGTTAATTTACTTTTTTAAATAATTTTCGTCAGAATAAACGAAAATAATGCATAGCATTTTGATTGTTTTAGGATTGGACAAGTGTCCATATTAGTATCCGGCTGATTCTTGGACTGAAGATCCAAGTCAATGGCCTTCCTTAAGTTATCATAATCTATATCAATACCTAATTAAGACTCCATGTAAGAAATATTTCTAAATAGTTGTTTATAAGTTATTATATATTTATTAAGTTATTATATATTTAATTCCTAAATCCTAAAATTATGTTAGTTTGCTCAGTGAATATTAATGTTTGCTTACACTTGTTTTAAACATTCAACACTATGTAGGCATCTATTCTCCAGAAGCTATGGAAAACTACAAGTCATTGGAGGCTTGGAAGTTCTTTCAAGAAGGTTGGGTGCAAACTGTTGTCCATATGAAGATAAGTCAAGATATCATGATCTTAAAATGTGATGTTAGACCTTCTTACAGAACCACATCTCCTAATCATAAGCCTTGGATTGCTCTTGGTTCACTTGGTAATGTAGTGACTGCTCACTGTAATTGTATGGCCGGGTAAGTGTCTGGAGAGCACTTGACTATAATAATTTAACACTAAAAGTTATCTTGTTTTGTGAACTACTAAATTTTGTTTACATTATTTAAATCTGTTGAAATTATTTATAGGTGTTTTTGGATTATTTAAATCTATAGTTTATTGTTTTTAACAGCCTTGGTGAAACATGCTCACATGTAGCTGCAACATTATATAAAGTTGAAGCTGCTGTTCGCATTGGAATGACATCATCCACACCAACTGATTTACCATGTCAATGGAATCAAACATTTGTAAAAAATATTGTTGGTTCCCCAGTTTCTCAAATAAATTTATATTCTGATGCTGCTAAAGAGAAACTTACAGGAAAAAGAACTAGGAAAATGTCTGTTTCTCCAACAAATATTGAAAAATATCAGTTTTTGTCAGAATTGAAAAGTGTACAGCCCAAAACAGCTGCTCTCAGTTTGTTTAAAGATTTTGATACTGAATTTATACACTTAGAATCTACTGTTGTAGCAAAATTGCCTTTATCTCTCAGAAATTTTTTCAATGCAAACTATAAATCTCTAGATAATGAACAGTTAAATTCTTTTTTTGATGAGAAAATAAAAGATTTAAAATTAAATTCTAGTGACATTGTCTATGTTGAAGAAGCAACTCGAAATCAATCTTTGTGTGATTCTTGGTATCAGGTACGAGTCGGACGAATAACTGGTTCTACTTTGTATCAAGTTTTTCATGCTAGAGTTGAGACACCACCTAAATCTTTAATTTTAAATATTTGTTCAGAATAGAATATAACAATAAAAAGTCCTCCAATAGTGTGGGGAAGAGAAAATGAGGAAAATGCATTGACTTTATATACACAACTTTATTCAGACTGTAATGAAGCTCATAACTTATTGGCACTTTCAGACATTGTCATCCATCAAAATTTAAAAGTTAAAAAATTAGGGCTTTGCATCGACTATGAAAAACCATGGTATGCAGCATCTCCTGATGCTTCTGTGTATTGCACTTGTTGTGGACATGGAGTTTTAGAAATCAAATGCCCTTTTAGTTTAAAAGACAAATCTTTGAAAGAAGAAATACTGAAAGATGTTTTTTATGTAGGATTAAATACGGATGGGAAATATTTTTTACAAAAACAGCACATTTTTTCCAGGTTCAGCTTGAAATGAGAGTTACTGGAGTGAGCTATTGTGATTTTATGGTATGGACACCCAGTGAGTTTATAGTTTTACGTATTGAACCTGACATTAGTTTTATGGAATCGGTGTTTAATAAATGTGATGTTTTTTGGAATAGATTTATTTTGAGGGAATTAGTAACAAGAGAAGTTGAATCAGGAATGAAATTGCCCTCCTCTACATTAACAGAAACCATAAATAATGATGATAATGTTTTTTGTATTTGCAAATCTAAAAGCTCAGAAAATGATGATGCGGCTGTGATTCATGTGATAATTGGTTTCATCTTAAATGTATATCTTTGAAATCTGTGCCAAGATCGTCTGTATGGTATTGCAATAGCTGTAAAAACAAGAAAAAGTCTGCACACTAAAACGTAATTATTTTTTATAATTTCAGCAGCAAAAAGTTTTTTTTTAATAATACATTTTTTTATTATTATCTTCTTAGAAACCAATACATTAATGGAGCAGTATTAATGCTATTCTCCTTATCATTTTCATGATATTTGTTGTTAACATTATTATGCTGGGAAATGGAATGGAAAAATCATAATTTGAGGTGAAATAAAGAATATCCCATTTTTAAAAAACGGCTATTTTCATAGCCACATATTATTAAAAACATTAAAGCATATGATATAATATTGAAAAAAACTGTTACAGATTAACAGATAATCAAACTCTTCCTATTCCCCGAAATCTCGGTGAATAGGAAGAGTTTGATTACCTGGTCTAAATAAAAAAGAAGTAAGGCGGTATTTTTCCTTAAGTTAATCGGTTTCTTTTTTGGAAAAAATATTTTACCTTATTCCTCGGGGGAAAACATTTTGTCGTATTTTATGTTATAATATTGTTTTAAACCCAGGGGTAATCTTTTTCCGGATATTTTTCTAAATGTTATGTTTTTCCGGATATCCAAACTGTCTGACCTACATATTATTTGTTTGTATTTTTGTAATTTATATATACTTTATTTGGTTTTTCATTCATACAACAATATAAAAAAGAAATAGGAAAGTAAGAGTAAATATATAACGGATTTTTTCCGAATATACAACTGTTTATACACAACTGTTTACCGGATTTTTAAAATATGACTTGGATAATCACTGTAAACTATCGTTGTTCGATGACGGCTCATGTATGCAAGATTAGTAATGAAGGAAGCGTGAAATAAATACTGTTACGCGGTGCTCTATAAAAAGACCCTTAGCACTTCTTGGAGCACCTAAATTAACAAAATCTTATTTATTAATGTTATACAAAAAGTCTAATGCGTAAATTGAACTCTCAAAATACTAATGATAACAATGTTTCTATTGAATAGATTCCAACGATATTTTTTTACGCAAATTTACTCAAAATCAAATTTAGGAAAAAAAATTGTAGTAACAAATTATTTTACTAAAAAATCGTATTAACAAGTTATTACATTTTTGACAAAGCGGTATCGAAATGTATTTTCATATTTAATTCAGACGCCGGTCGATATTTTATTCATTTATATTTTTATGTTGTAACGACATAAAGTTGTGGCTCGTTTTTTTCAAACCTAATAAATATTCTAATCCGTATTTCGCACATTTATTAGGTTTATAAATATTCTATTAAACTTATTCAACACACCTAAATAACTTTAAAGAATGGACTAGTTTTCATGATCATTTTCCGTATCGTATTGTATTCCATACCATATACATTTCGTATTGAATAGTGAAAATCCTTATTTACAGGGCTGTTAACAGCAAAAGTAGATCCCAAATGTATTTTCGGTCTGAAAATATGTACCATGTAATGCAGAAAGGCTTCTCCTTTTTCCGGGGCACTAGGGACGATATACATAGATCATCCAGGTAATATTGAAAAAAAAAAAGGGAAATTCTTTGCGTAAAATATCCGCAAAAAATGCGGAATATTTTTTCTCTTATTTTCCTCATAATTTGCTTTCAGCTGAATTGTATCTTAATTTTTTTGAAATTTTCTTTTTTGAACGAGTGATGACTAAAAAGCCCCTAAAAATCAAATATATTATCTAAACATATATATAAACTTGTATGCATAGAAAACTTTTTGGATATCCGAAAAAACTAAATAAAATATCCGGAAAAAGATAATCCCTGATTATACATTGATCATCCGGGTCATATTTTAAAAATTAGGTAAGATATCCGGTATAATCCGGATTATATTTTCCACTTTATTTTGCTATTACCTGAGTTGATTTCCATTTTAATTTTAGTATGACATACAAAAATTATCAACTTTAAGTTTTCCCAGATATCCTAAAATTTTCCAGAAATTAAAGCTGAGGTATATATTTTGGAAATATATTTATTTTTATGCTTTTTCACTTATCACTAATACAGTATGAGCAATAAGTGAAAAAGCTTGAAAATAAATACATTTCCAAAAGATATACCTCAACTTTAATTTCTGGAAAATTTTAGGATATCTGGGGAAACTTAAAGTTAATAATAATATCCGAAATTCCAAAATATCCGGAAAAAGAAAATCCATGAGTACAACTCTTGTACCACCTCTTGAGGTCCTTTTTGTCAAATAATGCTTTTATTAAGATATGTGGCTATGAAAATAGCCGTTTTGAGAATATTTAAACGATTCCTTCACCAAGGTTTGTTAAAGCAGCACAAACTGTTACAATTTTGTCACAATTAGAAAGAGTAACTGAGGTAGCTTCATCAGTAATGTTTTTAACAGTTCGTAAAGGCAATACACCTTGAAGAATGGTGTAACGATTTTTCAACAGCCCAATAACTCTTTCTATGTGAATTCTAACAGATGATATTTTGCGAGATTTTTCTACCTCCGAAGCAGAAAGTTGTGCTTTATCCTTTGTAAAAGCTGGATTTATTAATATAGAGCAACTTTTAGCTGCAAAATCGTCTTGTAAAGTAAAACCTCTATCTGATAAGATTTGATCGCCTGGCATATGGTACTTGCTAGATGCAAATTCTGATTCCCGAGTTATTTGATTGTCAGAAGCTCTTCCACCATAGCATTTGGAAATAAAGTTAATCGTTCCATTAGGTGTGCATGAAATGAGACATTTTATTGTACAATGTTTTTTATATTGGCTGTAAAATAGTGCTCTTGCCATTAGAGATGATGGTGATTCCACAAAAACCTCAAAACAATCAATAATTGATGTTAGTCTTGGGAATTTGTTTTTGAAAACAGGAGGAATTGTTTCGTATATATGATCTCGATCTTGCATTTTTATTAAATATTTTAATTTCACATACATAATATCAATCCATTTCCAAAAGTTATCCAAGGCAGTAGTTTTTTTAATATCAAACATAAATGATAACATATCAAAGTTAATGTTGTGCCTTAATTTAACTAAACAGAAAACAATTTTATCTTCTGTATTAAATCTTTTTAATGAAATTTCTGGAGTTCCTTTGCATAGGAAACTCAACAGTTTTTCTAATACAGGAAGATTAAGTCCAGTGAGCATATTGCACTTATCAGGATTGGCTCGAATTTTATTTATTCCTAAACTGCAATTGCTATCTTTTAATGATATCCACTTCGACATAAATAAATCTCTTTCTAATCGAAGATTATTTATTTCACTATATAGTTGTTGTCTTTCTGATGTTTTAAGAGGTGTTTCAATATCAATTTCAGATTTTTCAGTATAACTCATTTCTGACTTTAAAGAACTATTGGTTGAACTTTGCTGAACATTGATGTTTACAGGAGCACTCTTTCCTTTAAATAAGAAAAAAATACAATAGATATTTTAAATTTGCATATGATGTTTAAATAACTTTTAAATTAATACCTTGTATATAACTCTTACTGGAATCTTGAACATAAACATCTTCATTAATTATAGGAACACTAAATTCTGAAATATATTATTAAATTATTTTTCAACTTCTACAAAATAAAGTTAATAAACAAAAAATAAACAAAATTACAAAAACAAAAAATACAAATAGAAGTTAAGTTAGAAGTAATTGAAGACCTTAGTGCTAAAAAAACTTAATTCGCACACATTTTTTTAGAGAAAACATATTTTAAACTTATATTTGTATAGCCATTTTATTTTTATAATTAAATTTATGATGGTCAACGTTCTAAAATAGCTCTAGTAAGTATAGAATTATTAATTTCTGAAAAATTGTTAAAAAGAAAAATCTAAAACTATGCAAAAATGTAAAAAACTAAAATAAAAAATTAATCAATACCATGACTGGAAGATTGTTCTAAAAAATTTTTGGAGCATATAGGATTACTGATATCAGATTGCTGCAAATAATTTTCAGTACTAACTTGGATATTGATTTCTGTTGAGTATGAAATACATTTATTTTATAAAAATTTACTGGAGCGGTTTCATAACTTTTACAAGAACTACATGATCATTATTAATTATAACAAAAATTATACAAATTTAAATTGTAAATACCTAAATTTAATAATTATTTTTTCAAACTTACCTTCGTTACTAAAACTCCTTTTTTCAATGACAAAATCAACATCCTCACTAATTGATTGAGCACATAGTTTTAATTTTTTGCATGCAGGAACACTTATTTCTAAAAAAAAAATTTAAAATTAAACAACATCAAAGTAATTATTTACAAATGAATTGAAGCAAACAATAATATTTACTTTGTCTATTTATCCTCCTACTGACTCGGTTAATTTTGTTATTGTTGGTATTTCTTTGAGGAGAACCTTTCATTCCAGTATCAAAAATTGATGGAACTGAATCTGGATGTTTCTCAAAGAGCTCTCTTTTACCTAAAATTTTTGAACAAGTAGTATTTATTGTAATTCATTTAGTATATAAAATCAAATCTTAATAAAATTTGTTTACCAGTAATAAAGTGTGCTGAACAAACATAAACATTTGAAGACGTAGGAGACCACTGTTTTGACGAAGTGCTATCTGCAGCACGATTAATTGCATTTAACCATTTTCTTCTGACCGCTTCATTTTTAGGAATACGATAAAATTTAAGTTCATTGTTTTTTTTACAATTGTTTGTGCAACCTACAACACAACAACTCCTTGGCATCTTTTTGTCATAAAAAAAGTTTAAAACGCTGTTGATATTTATATGTTTGTTTTCCCTCCATTCAAGATGGTTAATTTATTTCGCAATTCGGCGTGACGTCACGCCGACTAGATGGATATATACATAGTATAGCATATATTCAGTTTTAAACCGTTTCTTTCATTATCTGTAAAAATTTCATTACCTGTATCAATATTACCACAATTTTCAAATAATTGATAACAAAAACAAAAATTAGATGGAACGTGTCTATTAGTTGTTGTAAAAAGACTTCTTTTGTTATTGAAAAAAAACTTTATTAAAAATGCGTTACTTAAAAATTTTAAAAAGTTTTAGCGATTT